TCAGACAAATGATTGTCCAACATCTTTTTAAAAACTTCAAAACTCACTTAACAATAACAGAACATGTTAACAACTGTGGCAAGAAAGGGTCAAAATCTCATTTAAAAAAATCTCATTTAAATGGTGGGCTTAACTGTGATCAAGGATTACCTATATGAGCCACGGTGGCGCAGTGGTTAGAGTGCAGTACTGCAGGCTACTTCTGCTGCCTGCTGGCTGCCTGCAATTTGGCAGTTCAAATCCCACCAGGCTCAAGGCTGACTCAGCCTTCTGTCCTTCCGAGGTGGGTAAAATGAGGACCCAGATGGTTGGGGGGCAAGAGGCTGACTCTGTCAAGCGCTTAGAGAGGCCTATAAAGTCTGCTATTGCTTGGGAAGGAGAAGTAGGCTGCAGTACTGCATTCTAACCACTGTGCACCATGGAAGGAACGAAGGAAGGAAGCTATTGTGGTGCAGTGGTTAGAATACATTATTGCAGGCTAACTCTGCCTACTGTCAGGAGTTCGATCCTGACCAGTTCAAGGTGGACTCAGCCTTCCATCCTTCCGAGGTGGGTAAAATGAGGACCTGGATTGTTGGGGAGCAAGAGGCTGACTCTGTAAACCGCTTAGAGAGGGTTGCAAAGCACTGTGAAGTGGTATATAAGTCTACGTGCTAGTGCTGTATAAGGGAAAGGGTCTCTTGGAGAAATTCCTCTAGGACATTTCTGAGTGAAGGTCTCCTCTTAGCCCCCTTGCACAGGTTGTTCGATCTGGAGTTGCCACATAGGGAACCCTACTTCAATGGGGAACACCAAGGGTTAATGGAGAAAGATCCAGGATTCTCCTCTGACCAGGAATGAATGACTAAGGCACACTAAAATTCATGTCAGGCCTTCGGATCATTCAGTCCGTAATGTTGGCTACACTTCATGCCTATCCAACACAGAACCAAAATAAAACTTGTCCTTTATGCTCAGGTGGCCATAAGAAAAGAAAACTAATCACAATTTCAAGAACAGGCTCAGAAATGGAACAAAGGGAGGGAGGTTTTTCCACTGACCGAATCCTTGGCACAGCAAAGACGTCGCTGATAAAAGTGATTCCGTGGCACAATTAGGATTTGATTACATGGAGTACTTTTGGGGGGGATGGAAATAATGGCATTTTTTCTATTTAAAACACCCGCCTCACGAGCAGCAAAAAAAATATCACGTAAACGTTACCGGCTGCTTTGCCTTTTGAGCATGACAGTGCAAATATTGGCATAATTTTGAAAGGCAAAATCAATTAGGCCTCTTTCATTTAAAAAAAAAATGTATTTGTCCAATAGAGAATTCAGAAGTTTTACCTTTAACCACCTGGAACAAAGAATACATTTGTGGAAAATTGTAGAGTGACTTTATGCACGTCTGTATTATTATCATCCCTAAAGCCTGTGAAATTCTTCTTTTTCGTTGTGGGCAAATTATTAGTAGATTAATCTGACCCGCGTAACTTTCATTACAATTAGTTTTGACCCAAAGAAGAACAATTACAGCATAAAGAGCTTCTTTTTATAGAAAAATAATTCTATTTGTTTTTTTGAAAGGGGAGAAGAACTCAGATTTCCACTGACTTGCATTAATCGTATTAAAAAGAGTTTAAAAAACACATTTTGGTTCATAAAGCACAACAATCTGGATGTCCAAAAGGTTAAAATCCTACGAGGAACCTGCATTCTAAATATAAATGTAAGCAATTGTGTAACTTTATAGTAAGGTAAATAACAATCTTCGCTTTCTCACAGTTCTCTGAGGATATGCTACCAGGAAGTTTTTATCTTATTTCATATCTAGGTAGAAAAATAGCTCAGTTTTTTTTTTCAAATATTGATTTAGAAAAAGCATTAATGTAAATATATTTTAAGGAACTTGTTATTCTTGCTTGATTTATACAGCCACAAAAGTAGCAACACATCATACATCTATCTATTCTCTCTGTCTGTCTGTCTCTCACTCTATCTTTATCTATCTAAAATCTCTCTCTATATATAATTTTCTTTATGTGTCTCTCTTTCTCTTTCTCTTTCTCTTTATTTCTATCTATCTATCTATCTATCTATCTATCTATCTATCTATCTATCT